AAATTTGTATTAGAATTTTATAAATAAACTAGTAGGGAAAAAAGACTGACTTAATTTTCTTGCTATTATGAATAACGCTGCAATGAATACTGGTGTACAAATCTGTTTGTGTCTCAGTTCTCATTTTCTTATGGTATATTCCTAGCAGTGGAATATCTGAGCCATATGGAATTTTTATGTTCAGCTTTTTGAGGAAAAGTCTAACTGCCTTCCAAAGTGGTTGTACCATTTTACAGTCCCATCAAAAGTGAATGAGTTTTCCTATCTCTCCACATCTCTTCAACATTTATTACTTGCTGTCCTATTAAACTTTGCCACTGTCACTGGGGTGAGATGGTATCTCATTGTGGTTTTGATTTGCATCTCTCTTACTGCCAGTGATTTTGAGCATTTCTTCATATATCTATTGGCCATCCAACTGTCTTCTTCTATGAAATGTCCTTCCATGTCTTCTGCCCATTTTGTCCATCAACAAACAAATGGATTGAGAAACTGTTGTATACTCACACAATGGAATACTATGAAGCATTCAGGGGCAGTAATTTTGAAAAATACTACATAAAATGGGGAGCTCTGGTCGCCTAGAGATAAGAAGCTGCACTGCAATTCCAAAGGTGTACATTTTGAGGCCACTGATCTGCGAGAGAAGGATGGGCAATCTCCTCCCGTGGGATTACTGCCTCTGAAAACCTGCCAGAGGGTCAGTTATGGGTTGACTCCAACTCTACAATACACAAAAGTAAGACAATAAAAAGAAATAAATAAAAATTGTATGTTACAAAATTATTATAAAATTTAAAAAATATTATACAACATGGGAGAGGTTAGACAGCGTTATGCTGAATGAACTCAAGTCTTTTTTATATTCCTTTTATTTTTAATTTTTTAATTGAGATTTTAACAAGAGTTTACCAAGAACTTGGATTTCTATGAACTCAGTCTCTTAAGGACAAATATTATGTAAGACCATTATTGTAAAAATAGGATAACTAGTCAGATGTGTATAAAAGTCCAACGAGTCCAGAGGGGCTGAGGGTGGGGAGAGGGGAAATTATGGGGCCACAGAGTTTGGTGGGTAGAAAGAAGGGATGAAAGAATTAAGTAAAATCTAGTGGGGACCTGAAAAAAATGCAGTAATCGTGGACATAGATTAATGGTGATTAATTTTATAAAACACAGTATGTGGGAAGGACTGTGTGAAACACAACATGAAGGAATGTGTAAAACATAAGATATATGAATGAAGCATAACATTTAATAATTCTGTATGCAAACCAATATACATTTTTTCAAAAGAAAAAGACTGACTCAAGAATACCCTAATTTAATCTAACCTTATTAAAATAAGAAATTCAACTCCTTTCCAAATGAGGGTATCGCCACAGGCATAAAGGTTGGGATTTGCCAAATATATTTTGGGAGAGAACACACATAATGTAATCTATAACAGAGCTAATGGAAGTAATCTGAAGATACTAGAATCAGCTGGATGTCTATCTACCAGCAATGAACATTAACCATTGCCATCAAAATGATTCCCACTCCTAACAACCCTATAGGACACAGCAGAGATGTCCTGTAGGGTGTGCAAGGCTGTGAATCCATACAGAAGCACAGCACCACATCCTTCTTTCTGGGAGTAGCTCGTGGGTTTGAACCATTGGCTTTTCAGCTGGCAACCAAGCATTTAACCATTATTCCACCAGCATTCCTCACAACTGTATCCACTGGCTTCATTTCAGAGCAGCCCTATAAGACAGAACAGAACCTGACCACAAGACTTCCTAGGTGGTATATCTTTATGGGAGCAAACTGTCACATCTCTACATCTTATAACAGGATGTGAGCACCTTTTAGTTAGCAGCCAAGCACTTAATGGTACTACCTGGACTCCTTCATAAAAATATCTAGAAAAGGATATTGGATATGTTTATACAATAAATGAATGTAACTGACCTCACTAAACTATACATGTAGAAAATGTTGAATTGGCAAGTGTGCTACTTATATTTTAAACAAGGGTAGGGGGGAAGGCAAACTACTTTATAATGAGCTGTATGTGTCTGCTACAGCCCATAAGGCCTGGGGCTCCACCTTATTCATATTTATATCCCCAGGCCCAGGATAGGGCTTGTTTCATGCCTAACTGATGTTTATAATTAAAGAAAGGAAAAACTAAGATACTGAAATGAAAAATTAAAGTACTATTTATAATTGCTAAAAAAATTCTTACAAATTTATCAAAACATATTAAGTCTTTTACATGATAAAACCTACACAACATTGATGAAAGACAGCAAGACAATTTAAAGAAATGGACAAATACACTATGTTCATGGAATATAAGCTTCAACACAGTCAAGTCCTAAAAAACTGGCACACAGGTTTAGTACAAGTCCTAATATAAAAATCCCAGCAAAATTCTTTGTATATATACACAAGATTATGCTAAAACTTATGATGAATAGCAAAGAAGCTAAAACAATTTTGAAAAAAAAAGGAAAAGTAAGAGGAATCAATCCATCTCATTTTAAGACTTGAAGATGTAATAAACTATAATACTTGTGGATAGACATGTGAATAGGACTGAACAGAAAACTCAAGAACAGATTCATGCAAAACTTTTCGCAATATTTGTCCTTCTGTGACTGAGATATTACACTCAGCATAATGTCCTTTAGGGTCACCCATTCTGTTTATTACTTTAGGAGTTCCTTGTTTTTCCGTGCTGTGTAGTATTACATTGTGTGAATATACCAATAGTTTTTCTCTCTATTCATTTGTTGATGGGCACTTGGGTTTTTTTCCATCTTTTTGCTGTTGTGAATAATGCCACTCTTAAAATAAAAAATAAATCATAAGACTTAGAAGTAAAACCATAAATTTTTAGAAAAAACACAAGAGAAAAGTCTAATTTAAAACAGCCAAAGATGAGAAACAACTCAGATGTCCTTGAATGGCTAAATGGCCAAACTGTGGTACTCTTAAATCACAAGATATTAATCAGCAACAAAAAGAAAAAACTATTGACACATGCAACAAGCTGAATAAATCTTCAAAGATTTATGCTGGGGTGTGGGGGCAGACCCAAATACAAAACCCAGCTGGTTCAAAAGGTTATATATACTGTTTAGTTCTATTGATTTCACATTCTTGAAATGATAAAATTATAGAGAATAGTGGTTGCCACAGGTAGGAGTGGGAGAGAAATGGTTATACCTATAAAAGAGAAACATAAAGGATGGTCCTTGTAGAAATGGACAGGCTCTGTATTTTGACCATATATCCTGGTTGTGATATAGTTTTGCTATCGGCAAAAACTGAGTAAAGGGTAAGAGGGTTAACTATTATTTCTGAAAACTGCCTGTGAATCTCTAATTATCTCAAAGAAAAGAATTTTAAAAGGGCTTACTGATGAAAAAACTTTAGAGACATGAGTATACGAAATGTGTTGATTTAAAACAGCAGAATACATGGTTGCATAGTCAGCATGATCTATTTAAATGAACATTTATAATGTCCATTCATGAAGAATATACAAATGAAAATATACTCAACTGCTAGCATTACAATTAAGAGATAATGGATGCTATTTCTTACATTCCAGATTTTCTTTACTACACATACTTTATCTTTGTAATCAGAAGAGGGGGGAAGAACCCCAAAGACATTTCTCACTGGGGGGAAAAAAGAAATGTGTCTGTTAAAGTTTTAGAGTTATAAGTTATATAGTGAAATGGTTAAACTAGGAAGAGTTCAACCTCCTTCTCAAGGTAGGAGATATAAAAGAATATGGCTCACTTGGAGACCACTGTGGTGTGAAGAGTTTATTGTTCAAGCTTGCTTTCCTAGCCGTTGAATTTGACTTTACCCTGTGGATGGGTGGAAATATGTGAATAGTGTGTGTTAGCTTATCCAGTAGGGAACTGGCTAGTCTCATCATTAAATTGAGCAGACTTGGTGGCAGATTCAGGGGTCTCACCATGGAAAAAGAAAAAGGTATGTAGTATGTGCCCTTCAGGACCAGAGGTTCTTGGGCCAGCTAAACTTAAAGCAGCAGCAGTGGCTGAAGCAGAGGACCAGAGACTTTACATGAGCCAAAGCTGACCTCAGGGCTGCTACCCTTCATGCAACCAGAGCTAAGAGTCCTTGTCTAAGTTTGTTAGAAGACTGGGTTTGTGCAGGATGGATGGGGGTGAAGGAGGAGAGTCACAACTGGCAGGACTGAGAGCTCTGTAGCACTGAACTAAAGCTATGAGGCTCAAGGCTGAGGTGCCTGAGAGCACATTTTGGATGCTGTCCTGACTCAGTAACTGCAATCTGCCACTAATATGAACATAAAACCTTTTGACCTTCCCAATATAGTTCTATGTGGTCTGTGAGCTATTGCATTGAATTTGGATCCAATAAAGCAGTAAGACTGGTGTTGCGATGAGTAGAAAGAGGTGGGGGACATGTCTGCCCTCACAGGAATTGGTTTTGTGTTGCTGATATTGTTGATGGGGACAGTTCTCCTTTGTGAAGCTGGTAAAGGACAGATATGATTGTGCTCAATGACTCTTGTTTTATAACTACTTGGGATATTCAGATGAATGAAAACCAAGAGGGTTACTTTATCTTCTGGGGAGACAAGTCACATGGTTGAAGAAAGACTGTGCTGGTATCCTGCCATGAAAGCAGTCACATTACCAAGCTCTTAAGTCCTAGTATGAACACAATGAGCCTGGCACTTCTGGATAAGATATGAAGTAAAAGGCAATAGTTTCTTGAAAGTTAAAATATTAAATGGTGCATTAGCAACAACAATTCCTAGCCCTGTTTAATGGAATAGCATAAAAGGCCTATCCATTAAGTTAAGGCTCAAAATGTAAATTATATACAAGGATAACTTTACCTAGTTTCATACATCATATGCATACTGGTTGTTACCAATAACCCAAGGTCTTTCCCCAAATTCACTGACAATAATGGACACAAGAATCCTTAAAAACTCTTCTTACCTCGTAGAAGAAAGGATGTCCAGCCATATCAAAGATGTTAACTTTGACTTCTCTGTCTCTGACTTGTACCCTGAAATGTTAAAATGAGAAAAAATTCCTAAAAAGGTCATGCTTCTGCATTCACATTAATATCACATAATTTTTAAGGTCAAAAGGGTATGTGTGTGAAATTTTAAAAAGGCTTCCTTTCTTAGTAACTATTCTTAATTCCAGACAGTCTTTCTTTACAGTAAGTATTAGTAACCTGACAGGTGATCCTACTCTTTAAGAACATTGAAACCACTGGGAATAAGTTCCCACATTTTACCTTCACCTCAAAATCCATTTCAATCTACATCTCCTAATCAATAAACAGTATTAAGAATAATCGATCTGGAACAAGTTGGAGCAAATGAAGAAACATAAAAAGTTCTATGTCAGTGAGCAGAAGACACTTTAATTATAATTGATTATGCCTGAGTATTATGTGGTAGAAACAAAAATGTATATTATTAATAATGGTTTTAAATTTATTATAATGTTCATTTGTGTAAAAGCAATAAATTTATTCTTGGAAATTTGAAAATAAAAACAAAAAAGAAAAATGACAACCACTCATATTAGAATTAACTATTGTAAACACTGTATATTATTTGCTTTCAATTTTTTTTTTAAAAGAAAATTCATTTTTGGTTAATGAACATAAATAGTTCATACAATAAAGAAAAACACAAAAATGAAAGTTCTAAATTATCTAAAACTCTATCACTCAGAAATAACTTTCATTAATAAAAGATGAATATCATTGCAGACATTTTATGTACAGGTAAGGAAGCTCTGGACTACTGGGTAGGGAGCTGTGCTGCAGCCCAAAGGCAACTGGTTCAAACTCCCTGTGTGAAGTCAGCATCTGAAAACCCACTGGAGGGTCAATTAGAGGTCAGTTTTAATTTGACTACAATGACTGAGTGAAGCTGATTAAATATTTCTTATAAAAATAGTATTACATTATTTTTAAATAAAGTGTAAACTTTACTTTTTCTTGAATTTAATAAAACAAAATGGCACTGAACTAAACTGAGAGTAATGACTGAAGTTGACTAAAGTCATTATGGTTTTTAAGCCACTTGTTTCAGTTTTGGTAATAATGACAGAACTCCCTGCTGTATTATTCCTTTGTATCAGAGATAAAAGTAAATGTTAGACACTTGGGACAAAGGGATAATACTGAACTAACAATGAGTACTGATGTCTTTTTATTTCTCAGCAACGATGTCAGTCTAGACACTAAGGTACGCCTAATCCAGGCCATGGTCTTCACAATTACTTGTTAAGCTTCAGAGAGCTGGACAATGCCCAAGGACGACAGAAGAATTGATGCCTTCAAATTGTAGTGCTGAAGAAGAGTCCGCCAAGGAGAAAAGAAGAAAAAAAAAAGTCTGTCTTGGAGAGCGTGAAACAAAGTTTCTCCTTGATGGCCAGGATTTTGAAGCTCCATCTCATATACTTTGGGCATGTGGGTAGGAGAGATCAGGTCCTTGGAGAAAGACATCATGCTCAAAAGGGTGGACGGACAGCACAGGAGAGGAAGACTCTGGGTGAGATGGATTGATATAGTGATTAGAGCAATGGGAGTTGGTGTGTCAGAATTAGTGAGACTGGCTCAGGGCAGGTTAGGGTTTAGAGCTGCTCTACATAGGGTCACTATGGGTCACAGGTGACTCGATGGCTCATAACAGTAACAACAATAATTGTCAAGTAAGGTTTTCAAGAAGGGCTCATTATGTTCTAGCCTCTGAATTCCTTCATGTGTCAGAATCTGCCAAAACATTTTTAATATGTGAATGTTATTTTAGGTGCTTGATTTTTCTTCATTTTTCCTTTTACCTGTAGTCTCAGAGAAAATTAATTTTCTATTCAATAACATATACATGTAGTTTTTCCTTTTTTTTTCACATAATGTTCTTTTTATTGACATTTACATTCTGATTGCACCTATGTATTTTAAGTACTTCATTTGGCTGACAGACACCACATTCTTGTTGACATTTTAAGAGACACCAGTGATTTCACAACTACTGGGAGTAGAGCACCCTTACTTGACAGTTAACATCATACATGCTAAGTACTACAAAGTGTTAACAGTTAAAGGAAATAAGCTAAAAGACAATGGGTTCTCCACTATAAAATTACAACCTTGACAAGTTTTTACTAAGAATTATTCTGACTAGTACAGAGGCAGAGATATCTATCATTAAGTGTATGCATTTAATATACGCTAGAAATTGGGGCTACATATCAAAAGGAAAATTATTCAGAATAGCTACATGTCAAGTTTGCATTGTCTGGTGATAAATGCTAATGAAATCCATTTATGTAGTACAATCAAGAAAAGCACACTTCAATATATTAATGACTTTAGTAGATGTTTGGCAGTTGAAGTTTCTTCTTTATGAATTTTTCTTGGAAATTTTCACCGTGACTGTTTTGACCTCTGTATACTCATACATGCCACATTCTCCCAGTTCTTGTCCATTTCCAGACATCTTGAATTCCCCAAATGGACAATGGGCAGACACTGCCAAATAACAAGTCACCCACACTGTCCCAGCCTGCAGGGCAGCAGACACTGTCACAGCTTTATCAGGGTCCTTGGTAAAGATTCCTGCTGCTAAGCCATAGTGTTGTTTGCCCTCTTGATGACTTCATCTAAAGATTTAAACTTCATGATTTGATGGAGTGGTCCAAATATTTCCTCCTTGGCAATGCACATCTCATCGGTCACACTGGAGAAAACTGTGGGCTGGATAAAGTAGCCTTTATTCCCTCAGGGGCCTCCTCCACATTCCAGCTTAGGCCCTTCTTTCTTCCCACTTTCAATGAGATTGATTATTTTATCACGTTGTTCCTTGTCAATCCGAGGACCTTGGCTTACTCCTGGGGTCAGAGGATTGCCAAGAACATACTTCTTAGCCAGCTCAACACTCCTTTGAACAAACTCATCATAAATTGATTCTTCCACAAAAAGCCTGGAGGTAGCTATACAGCATTGACCTTGGTGATGGAAGACTCTTACGTGTGCAAACTCAACTGCACTGTCCAAGTCCATGTCCGCAAACACAATGCAGGGGCTTTTTCTGCCCAGCACCAGGGTCACCCTCTTCAGATTGCTCTTCCCAGCAGCCTCTTGGATCAATTTGCCAACCTCTGTTGATCCTGTGAACACCACTTTGTCGACGTCCATGTGGGAAGAGACGGCTGCTCCTGCGGTGGGTCCATAACCGGGCACAATATTCACCACTCCTGGGGGAAACCCTGCCTCTTTTATTAAAGATGCCACATGAAGAGCAGTGAGAGGAGTTTGCTCTGCTGGTTTGATAACCACAGTATTTTCCACAGCTAAGGGCAGGTCCTATCTTTGAAGCAAGCATAAGCAGTAGGAAATTCCAAGGAAGAATTTGGTCACATACACCAATAGGCTCATGTCTTGTGTAAGTAAAGAAGTCTCCATCAGCAGGTATCGTTTGACCATGGATCTTGTCAGCCCAGCCTGCACAGTAGTGTAAGATTTTGATAGTGGCTGGTAAATCCCTCATATATGCAACAGGAAATAGTTTTCCACCATTCATTGATTCCAGTGTAGCCAACAGTAGAATGTCCCTTTCAAGTAAATCAGCCAACTTCAACAGTAGCCGTCCCCTTTGTGAAGCATCCATAGTTCGTCATTGAGAACCAATCTGAAAAGCTTCTCTTGCAGCCTTTACTGCTTTAGCAACATCTGCCTTGTCTCCTTCTTCCACTTCACAGATTTTCTCCTCAGTTGCTGGGTTGAGGACGGGAAATTTTTTGCCACTCACTGAGTTATGCCATGCATTGTTTATGAAGATCTTGGTGTGCTGAATCTTGATGTTCGTTAGTGGGGCAGGTATTTTCGGCATCTCTGGTAGAACTTCAGGAATACAGGTGACAGGCTCACTGATCTGGTTCAGCTTGCTGCCGTAGTTTTTCCTTTAAAATAATGTATACTCTTTGTGTGTGTGTGAGACTGGCCACGGCCCTGGACTGTAACAGCACTCTTCCACATCCTCCCTGTGTTCCTCTCTTCTGTCCTTCTTCCCCGTCCCTTCTGGCCTCCTGAGCTTTTTTTTGCAAATGCCCTTTTGGCTGATTGTTCTGAGGACGACATTCCTCCCGAATATATTTTTTTCAGTTACACTTTCCTTCCTGCAGAATGCTGGCAGTCATTGCTCCAGGATGTTTCCCTCTCTTTAGCGACTCCGCTGTCCTCGTCTGTAGGGAGCTGCACTGCTAACCCAGAGGCCACACCTCCCTGGTGGTTTGAATCTACCAGAGGCCTTGCAGAAGGAAGATGGGGGATCTCCTACTACATGCTTTAGTCTCAGAAACCTACAGAAGGGTCACCTATGAGTTTGTAGAGCAGAATTCTATCATTTAGCAGTGTTATTTCCTGTTAATTTAATCATATCTTCTCAAGCACAATCTACACTTGAATCACCTTCAAATAAATCCCCACCAATATACTACATAGGGGGCTCTGGTGGCCTAGTAGGAAGGAGCTGCGAATCCAAAGGCAGGAAGTTTGAGTCCACCAGTTGTTCCATGGTGGAAAGACAGGCAATCTCATCCCAAACAATTTATAGCCTCTTGAAAACCCACTAGAGGTTCAGCTTTGAATTGGTTCCAATTTGATGGCATGTAACAACAACAACAACAATAATATATTACACATTGGCCTGCTAACTGAATGGTTGGTGGCACAAGAATACCAGTTGCTCCATGGAGAAAAGAGCTGTTTCCAGCTATAATGATTTATGGCCTCAAAAACCTATGGAGGGTTATAACCAGCTGGAGGCCAGCAAGTTTTTTTTAATACCTCCATGGCTCAACAGGATAGGGCAAGGTCCAGATCTGTGGTTAACAAGGTCTCTGAGTCGTAGTCAACTTTATGACATGTAACTACAATAACATAGATAACTTCCAACCAAGCAATGGCCTTGTCTGTAAGGTGAGCATAACACTAATAGGGTATGAACTCCTTAGAATATTCAGTCATGCGAAATCAAAACAACAGCTTCTGCCCAGAGACAAAGTTCAGAAAGTAGGAAGGGGTAAGAAAGATGGATAAATGTAAACAGTAAACACAAGAAGGAAGTGGTTAGAGGGCTGTTTGTTACACTGTGGAGACTACAATCAAAAAGTATGTAAAGGGAAAACCAGTTTGCTCTGAAAGCTTTCAATCAAATTATGACTAAAAGTTAAATGATGAAAGAAAACGTTCCTCTCCTCAAAAATATCCCCACTGGTACTCAGCTAACAAATTGGGTCTTGGAGGAAGTACAACCAGAGTGCTCCTTAGAGGATAGGATGGTGAATCATCTCATATACTCTGGCCCTGTTGGCAAGGAGGTTCCGGTCCCTGGACAAAGGCAATCATGCTAGAAAAGGCATAGCCAAAGACAGCCAGATGGAGTGATGCCGTGACTACAGCAGGGGCATGAGAATGGTGCAGCACAGAGCAAGGATTTGATCTGTTGTTCACAGAGTCTTTAGGAGCTGAAGTCAACCCAGAAGCACTTAACAACTACTAATTTCAAGGAGCCTCGGTGGTGCGGTAGTTAATCAGTTACAAAGCAAAAGGTTAGTGGTTGAAACGCAATAGCTGCTCCTTGGGATAAAAATGAGATAGTCTGTTTCTGTAAAGATTTTCTGCTGTTGGAAACCCTCTAAAATCTTCATTTCATCATTTCTTCCATTTGCTTCAGATAGTCTACATTTAAGAGCAAGTTTCAGCGGCTCTTCTGAGATCTGTTTTATCTTTTCTTTTTCATAAAACATGCCTATATAAAAACATGTCCTCAAAAGTTCTGAGACTCTCCAAAATCAATCTCCATAATAGTCTATGTGTTTCCTACTGCCCAAGGGGCCCTTTAGAGTAGTGAGAGAAGATCTTCACCCTGAAACCCACAGCGTCCCTTTTCAGCAGGAAGTAGCTAAGAGAATACGCCATCCCCTTTTCCTTATGAATCAGGGTGAAGTCTCTCTCAGGGAGGAGTGATAGGTAATGGCAAAGGACACACCGACAAAGGAGATTAATCAGAACTGACTTTGACAAGCACTGTGGCAACTGGACAATTAAAACAGACACTCGGATGGCGGGGAAGAAGAACAAACTGGGGAGGAAGGTAGAGAGAATGGTGCAGCAAGGAAGGAATGAAAACCCAAAATCCCTGTAAATGTTCATTAAAACTAATAAAATTTAATTAAAAAAAAAAGTTCTGAGACTCATGCTTTGTGTGGCTTTTCAATGTTGTAGCTGTCACGTCTAACACAAGCCCAGGACACAGATGTGTTCAACACAGTAGCTAGAAAAACAATTATACGGTCACCATAGATCCCTTTATACTGTCTTCCCCAATTTATTTTTAAAGATAACCTGGATAAGTGCATAGATGTAAATACAGGTCATTTGAAAAGGGCTCTTCATTTCTATGGATTACAAACCCAGAGAAACAATATACTCACTTTGTGACTCCATAGTCAATTCCAATTGTTGCCAGGTATTTAGAGACAAATCTTTTCTCACAGTATCGCTTTATAATACAGCTCTAAAGAAGGAAAAATACATGCATTTAGTAACTTGGACACTGGACCACATACAAAACAAAATCATTGCTTCATTCACCATCATAAGAAAACATTTTTGAAAGCCAAACTATAAAATAACTTAAGTAAAAAATGTCAAGAAAAAGCTTTTGCTTAGTAACAAATATAGGCTTGTTTCCTTTCCCCTGTACTCTTTCTCACATGAAGATCTATTCCAGTCTTATACTTTCAAGGATATCCTCAAAATACAAATAAATGCCTACCCTAGACCTCCCTCCTAAGATGATTCTGATCTCCAGAATCTACTGGCATAGTCGGTAGGTAGGGAGTGGTACTGCTAACTGAAAGTCGGTTTCTCTCTGGTGGTTTGAATTCATCAGTGGCTCTTGAAAAAAAAAAATGGGCAGTCTTTCCATGTAACTTATAGCCTCTGAAAACCCCAAAGAAGGTCACGTGAGTCAGATCTGACTCAATGGCAATGAGACGGGGGGGGGGGGGAGAGCAAGAGAGAATGAATTTCTATTTAGATGGCTCATCATCACCACAAATCCAATAAAGAGTTAATTGTACACATGGAAATAGCTCAGTCTGCTGACATCCTAACTGAGTTAATAAAATAAAAATATCTGAGTAAAATTTTACTCTAGCCTTATAAACTTTTTAAATATTTTTTACACCAACTGGTACCTATTTTGTTGAGTTTTTCATCTACTACTAGACAAGTCTAGGAAATTCTTTATCCATTATTCTACCTTTCCTTCAACTCCACTCTGTTTCACACTGTAACATTATTTCACTTTCTTAACTCAAAAACGTTCAGTGATTTCTTATTATGAAAAGTAAAAAAAAAAAAAATCCAAATTATTTCGTCCTTTATTCAAAGTCCCCATAATTTGGCCCTAATTTATTTTCTTGGTTTTAACTCTTCTGGATGAACTCTCCATTTCTACAAAACTTAAAGAACACAACTTCTTGATTTTTTGTCATTACTTCAGCCTCTACTTCCAATCAGGTGTCTCTTTTCTTTCCAAACCTATGTAATCCTTTAAGGCCCAGCTAAAATACTGAGCAGGGAGCTCTGGTGACCTAGTGGATAAGATGTGATACTACTAACTCAAAGGCAGATAGTTTGAATCCACTAGCTACTCTGAGAAGAAAGAGAGACAATCTCCATCCATGAGATTTATGGCCTCTAAAAACCTGCTGGAGGGTCAGCTGTGAGTTGGTTCTGACTTGACAGTAAGGTGAGAAAACACTGAGCATCCAAGTCACGAGTGATTATGCCTGCATTTCAACTCCTCTAGCACTTGTGTGTACTGTTAAGAATTTACTATGCAGAACACAGTATGTAACATATAGTTTATACCTGTTATATATGTATGCGCGTGCGCGCACACACACTATTTTTTACCAATCACTTTATTTTTTTCAGCATTACAATACACTACTTGAAGGCAAGATTTACTTCTATCTTCGAGAGTCAGTAGCTCAAAGTCTTTTACATAGTAGCAGCTTGACAATCACTGAATGAAGATAATTAGGCAGTCATTAAATTAAGAGACACTTGCACTGTTTCTGATAGTAAAGATGAAATTTTAAAATGACTTGAATATTAATAACTGTCTTTAGTACTCATAAACTTATAATGTATGTTAAGTGTTAGTAATGGATCTATTCTGCTTAAATTCCCTTCTAATGAGCTGCCACTTAAATGAAATTGACAGGATAGTTAATTTAGAAAGCACTTAATAAATTCATTGAGAACTGAAGGAAGAATTTCTTTGAAGTGACTCCTGCTAAAAAATGATACTTCTAAAAAGCACTTCACAAATGCTCTTATAACATCCTTGAAAAATAGTTTTCCAGACATACACGGGAATGTGAAGGACTTGAAGTCTTTTAACTTGAACATATTCACTAAATCATGTATTTATTTATAGAGGTATACATTTGAATAATAGCATTCATTATCATTTCTGCAATGCAAAGACTTATTTCTGATTGTTTGAATATTACAATCAAAGTTAGATAATATACAGAGAGCAGGTAAAATCAATTGAATAAAAATTAATTAAGGAACTGAGTTTTTAATTTGTGAGAACAAAATAGTTCATTTAAAAAAATTAAAAACAAACAAACAAAAACCCACCAAAATGCCCTCATTGCTGTGAAGTCAGAACAACCCACCAAAATGCCCTCATTGCTATGAAGTGAGAACTGATCCTCCTATGGGTTTTTGGTGGCTGTAAATCCCTCAGTGGAGAACTGTCTGTCTTTCTCCTTTGGAGCTACTAATGGATTTGAACTGTTAGAGAAGCACCACCTTCGGGTCAGCAATGCAACTTCTTATGGACAATGCCACCAGAGCTCCCTAAAGCATAAAATGTTAGTAATGATTCCTAGAATAGTTCAAATGTTAGAAGCATATCGTATTAGCCAACAGAAATCAAACTGGCAGCATACAGACAGCAATGTGAGCTGTCAGATTTTTAAAATATAATAATCTTTTTAATTTATATTTCAAAAAGTGTGTATATAATCACTTATTCAACAATTAGTGAGTTTGTAATCTTTATTGAAGTGTGTGATGTGCTGGGACAAAACGGGGGCATCAATTCTTGTCCTTAAGTATCTGACAACTTGTTGAAAGAGGAAAACATTAAATAAATAATTTTGGAACTCTTTTGTGATAAGTGCTAGAAAAATAATAGATTGCTTTGAGATAATGGAGAAGCCTTTGTAGAACATCCACTAACTAGCAGGCTGGCAACCTGACCCCACCAGCCTTTCCATGGGAAACAAGGTGCTTCTGTAAAGAGTACAGTCTTCCAAGCCCTATGGTGCTGTTTTAATGTCCTACAGAACTGACTCAATCACAATAGCTTTGGTGGGTTTAAAGAGATAATGAGGGATGAGGATGTGCAGGGGGGTTAATCATGGGGTTGTACAATTTGATGGGTTGGAATTTGGAAAAATCTGTTCTGGAAAACAATGTATCAGAATTTTGTAAATAAACTAGTATAATGATAATAATAATAATAATAATAGATAATGTAATGAGAATAAAAATATTTACTTTCAATAATCTAAAAAAGATATAGGCTAAAAATCGGATTTTATGTGTGATTGAAAATACACTCCTTTGCATATAAAAACTTGTACACCAATGTTCATAACAGCAATTATTATTCATAATGAAAAAGTATAAACAACTCATGAAAGATGTGATGAAATGGGTTAAGAGAAAATTCATATTTAAAATAGATGACAATGAAATAAGAAAAAGTGAAGTTGTGATACATGCTACAAGATGGATCAACCTGGAGAACATTATGTTACAGAAGCCAGCCACAAAAGACTATATATTTTATGACATCATTTCTAAGAAATGTCCAGAATAGGCAAATCCATATAGATGAATGTAGACTGGTCTTTTTCTGGGACTTAGGGGTGTTGAAGGAGAAGGAGGAGTAACTGCTAATGGCTACAGCCTTGCACCCCGCTACTGGTCCACAGCAGTAGAGGTCTTAGAGGTCTGAGATCTACACAAAGTTCATGGCACAAAAGCTTGGGTCTCTAACATTTGCACTTCTCTCTTGGCTTTCTACCAAGAAACCTAAGCAAACCTGTTTAATTCAGGCATGCTCTCCAAGCTTTGCCCTGGCCAGCCTGCTACCGTCTCCTGGCCACTTCTGTTTCTCCTAATTACTACTGACCATGTACTTTCTATTGGGCCTGCCCTTTACCTGTGTCCAGATGTCCACAAATATTATAGCTCTTTTATCAGTATTATAACTTCTTCCCAGGACTGGGAAGGTTCTTTGTTAAGAGCCTGATACTCTGTCTCAAATATTTCAGGCATGTGACCAGGAGGGACCAATCCTTGGAGAAGGACATCATGTTCAGAAGGGTGGGACAATGCAGGAGAGGAAGACCATGGATGAGATGGATTGACACAGTAACTGGGGCAATGGGGATAAGTGTGACAGAGTGAGAGAGACTGGCTCAGGACAGGGCAGACTTCAGAGCTGTTGTACACAGGGTCACTATGAATCTCAGGTGTCTCAACGGCACATAACAACAACAGTAACATCTACTGAAGAATGCACCTACTTTTCTGCTTCTCAATATCAGGAAGTCCTTACACTTCTGTTTTAGATTTTTATATAGAATAGTTTCTTAGCCTGAGTTTTCTAGATAAACAAAACCAATGCAGCATAAATAGAAAGATATTTAACTCAGGGAAATGGCTCAGATGCTTGTAGAGGATGGTAAGCCCCAAGTCCATAGGTCATAAATCTAGGTAACTGTCCTGAATCATAAAGCTGCAGAGGCCGATGGAACTAAGAATGGCAGGCCAGAAGGCAGCCTGCTGGCTTTCCAAGGTTTGTTGTTCTTGTTGTTATGTGCTGTCGAGTCGTTTCTCACTCATAGCGACCCTATGCACAATAGCCCTAAACCCTGCTCTATCCTGCGCCAACCGCACCGCCTCTGACACACCCATCCCGATAACCCCAGTCACCGAATCAATCCACCTCATAGGAGGTCTTCCCCTCCTGTGCTGTCCCTCCACCCTCCCAAGCATGATGTCCCTCTCCAAGGACCCGTCCCTCCTGGCAACATGTCCAAAGTATGTCAGACGAAGCCCCAGAATCCTTGCCTCCAAGGAGTAGCTTGGTTTAATTCTCTCCAAGATGAATCTGTTTGTTTTCCTGGCAGTCCATGGTACATTCAGTACCCTTCTCCAGCACCACAGCTCTAAAGCATCCACTCTCCTTCTGTCCTCCCTAGTCATTGTCCAACTCTCTGATGCAAAACAAGCGATTGCAAATACCATGGCCTGTATCAGGCGCACCTTACTCTCCAGAGAGACACTGTTGCTCCTGAGTACCTTTGAGAGGTCCCTAACAGCAGACTTTCCCATCGTGATACGCTTTTTGATTTCCTGACTGCTGGTGCCAAGAGTGTTAACTGTGGAGCCAAGCAAACTGAAGCTGTGAAC